TGCTCCTCCACACCCCCTGTCACAGCCCCTCCAACCCCGCATCACCAGTCACAGCCACTCCACCCCCATACCCCTAGTCACAGCCACTCCACTCCCCACCCTGTCACCCACACCCTGTCACCCCCACCCACACCCTGTCATCCCCACGGACACACCCTGTCACATCCCCCCTCCACACACCCTGTCACCCCCACCCACACCCTGTCATCCCTACGCACACACACCCTGTCACAGCCCCTCTTTTCACACCCTGTCATCCCCGACCACACCCTATCATCCCCATGCTCACACATGGTCACCCCATACACATACACTATCACCATTCCCAAACACTTTCAATCCCCACACGGCAACGCTCGATTCCATGTGGTGCCGGGACTCGCAAGAGAGCTGCAGAGCCCCTAGAGTGCCACCGGACCACCAGGGACATATGCTGACCATCCCTCCTCCCTGTATGCAGGTAAGAAACAAGGAGGGAGGAGAGGGAGGGTGGGGGTAAATACTTAAAAAAATATGAAACTAAGTCTAATGAAATTAAAAGGCTGCTCCCCTCTCAGACCCCTATCCTAGCCTGCAAAGCTTCTCTCACACTACAATCCACCCCTCACAATCACACACAATGTACCCCACACACACTGAGCCCCTCACAATCATACACACTGCACCCCTCACAATCACACACACACTGTACCCCACACACACTGTATCCCTCGCCATCAAAAACACTGCATCTCTTACACACTGCAGCCTATTACACGCTGCACCCCTCACAATCACGCACACTGCACCACATGTATCTTTGTATATATATGTTTATAAAAATACATATACACGCAGCATATGTTTGTGCTTTAGGGTGCACACCCTAATGCAATAGGCTGTGCACGCCTATGAAAATACTCAAATTGTATTTTGTAGGTGGATGATGAGAAAACACAAAAAAATATGTTTTATGGCTTTAATCTTCCATCTGTAAATGTTCCGTTATGACATAGTGATTTCATCACCTGTTATTAAAAATATATATAAAAACCAGCATCACGTATGTCATTCTGGACGTTTTATACGCAACTGCCGATGTGTCACTGGGCTAGGTACGCACATTACGCAGAGTAAAAAAGAAAAAGAAAAAAAACAACAATTTTCTTCCAGCACTGTTCTCCATGGTGAACCAAAACATGTTGCTACTTGTTTGGTACAAAGTAAGAAACTTTTGGCAACCACTATTTCTTTACGTTCCTAAGTACAATTTATTTGAATTTGTAGAATTCTCCATATTTAGCATATAAAGTAAAAGCAGAATTTAAAAGCTCCGGCTAAGGCCATCTCACTGGAGAGATACTTTCACAAGTAGTTAATGGGAACGCAAATTCTAAAACTGAATGAACAATATAAAACATAGCTAAAAGCTTCTATATTTCATCCAGGAAATTTTCTGATGAGAAGTTATTAGTTATTAAAATTTCACGTCATCTCCTTTTAGCATCACTTGCGTTTCCAATGGGACATTCATTCTCAGACCTTTAAGTACAGCCAGGAAGGATGACAGAAAATGCCTAAACTCATTGGCTGTTACTATATTGACATTGGCAGCAAGCTATGTCAGGGACAGCTCCATGTAGAGGAGTTATGTCATCATCGGAGGCGAGTGCAATGCCGGGGGAGGAAGATTAAAGAGAAGCAATATCTTATTAAAGCAATGACTTTCTTTAGCTGAAGGTCAGTCTCTGAATATATTTTAATCTGTAGCACATATATAGTTTGAACCACTTAGTGATTCTTTCTCTTTAGCCATCTGAGGAACAACAGCCATATTGCATTAACAAAGGGCTGAAATCTAGCAGATTTCTAAGGATATACAGTGCTTATATGATAAATGAGTGTGTGTATAATGTATACTGTATCCATTTGGTGCAAAATTATTTTGTTGAAATCTACAATGTGGAAACAATATAGCAGGGTTCCTACATTATATACAAGCTACACAGAAGTGTTCTTGCAAATAATACTACCCAATTCAAAGATATACTAAGACAAAAGTAGCCCTCACTGTTTCTTAGTATTTTACCTACACTTGACAAGCTTGGCAAAAGGCAATCACGGTATGAAACACCAACACACAGTGTTCAGGACAACAAGGGACAAAACAAGGAAATAACATATTACTGGGCCTTAGAATGGCCCGACTTAACGTTAGACAGAGAAAAAGCCAATTCAGTGACGAGGTAGGGTAACAGAGAGACAGTGAAAATGAGAACTAGTCAGAGTCAGGTACTTGTTAATCAGTCAGACAGGCAAACAATACAGGAAAGGAACTGTGCTTCTCTCATTACAATTTCCTATATCCAGCCATCTACCTACTATATGTATGTATATATATATATATATATATATATATATATATATATATATATATATATAGCATTTATTCATATTAG